CCTTCTCCAAATCTGAACTGCCAACTTAAGTTCAAAGACAGCATTCTCCAGGAAGGCTCCCACTTGGTTCTCTGGATGCTAATGGGAGGGGCAGGGGCTGGGCTTTCCAATTTCTCTATTTAAAACATCCAACTAGTTCTTACCAAAGACATGAACTAATGTTTTTTGTTGGTTGTGGTTTGGTTTGGTTTCCTCTCCGTTGTCCACTAACGCCTTCCTTTGAAGTATGGAACTGTGGATAGCTGGAAATGACATGATCTAAAACAGTGGTTCTCAACCTGTGAGTCATGACCCACTTTGGTCACATATCAGGTGTTCACAATACAATTTATAATAGTGGCAAAATTACAGTTATGAAGTAGCAATGAAATGATTTTATGGTTGAGGGTCACCACAACATGAGGAATTAATTATATTCAAGGGTTGCAGCACTAGGAAGGTTGAGAACCACTGATCTAGAGCAAAATGGCTTGGGTTAGAAATCCAACAGTATGTAACTTAGCCACACTATGACTCTGAAGAAACGCATCTCCCAGGAGAATACTAACCTGGCTGAGGGCTGTATCTGGTCGTGCCTCTGTCCTGGGGCCATCGAAGCCACCCATGCTCCCTTCACTCTGTGTCAAACAGTGGGAAGGAATGGAGAAACCTGGACATCTTTCTGAAGGCCAAAAAGATGTGGGTGGTGATAAATAAAAGTCCAATCACCAGGGTTTGGTGATTTGGAAGAAGCTTTGATACAGTGATAAATGTCAAACTTGAGAAATAGACATTGGTGTCTAATTTTCCTACTCATTTGCTTCTGTTTCTGTCCCATTTGTGCTATTTATAGTGTCACACAGGCTTGTGAATGTCAAGGCTTACTACTAAAATTGTCTGTGGTCCAGACATTCCTCTAAGGCTGCGAACTCACAGGCAAGAGGAAAATACATCTAATTTTTTGTTTCATTCCAAGACCCTAGAATAGAATCTGGCCTTAAAGGGTGTGTAAAGAACATCAGTCAGAAGGAATAAATAAATGAGGGTAAAGGGAGACATGGAGAAGAATTTTATTTTGGTGAGCAGTAGACCATGGGCAAGAGGACACTGTGAGGAGTCTGAACACTACGATGGACATACAGTGAAAGGTGACCACTGTCTCTATCCTTTTGTTTAAGAGCGTTATTAAAATATAATTATTTTAGAATAAATGGCAGTTATCCAAACAAGCAGTGTGATGAGTTTTGATGATGCCAGTCACCAACAATGGGAACATATCTCTGCACCTCCACTCAGATAAGTGGTGGAGAGACGTGGGGGTATCCTAGAATGCTCTCGGGAGTGACACCTGCATGGTACCAAGAACAGCCAGACCAGCAAGAGGAGAGAACGGAGCTTGGGGTGCACACACAGAAGAGGAAAGAGCGTGGGGTGCACACAGAACAGAGGCCCCAGCCGGAGCCCTGAAGCCTGGCTCTCCAGAACTACCCTGCCCTAGAGAGGGAACCCAGCCTTTGGACTTCCACACCCACCAGCCATTTGGATATTCATGTGTCCCACAAATGAGCCCTATCATTGGCAGAGTCCTTTGGCCAGGCAATTTCTCGGGAAGGACTCAGCTGTGAGCCCCAGTGACTCTGGCCTAAGCACCTCCATCTTAAGAGGGAGCAGGAGGAACACTGCAGAGACTATACTGGTCACGTTTACCATCAGTTGACAAGACCCAAAGACGACTGGGAAGGGGAAACCTCGACTGAAGAACTGCTGAAGTCAGAATGGCCTGTGGCTATGACTTGCTTGATGAATAATGCAGAAGGGCCCAGCCCACTATGGGTGGCACCATCCCTAAGCAGCTGGGCCTGTCTGTCTGTACAAGAAAGGTAGCTGGGTGTGATCCAGGGAGCTAGCCAATGAGCAAGCCAAGAAGCAGCAGCATCCCCAGGTGTCTTTTTCAGGCCCTGCCCTAACTCCTCTCAATGATGGGCTGTGACCCAGAAGTGTAAACCAAATAAGCTCTTTCCTCCCTGTGTTGTTTTTGGCCAGAGTGTTTTATCACAGCAACTGAACGCAAGCTAGAGCAGCCCAGTGGTAGATAGACCAGCTCACTGTGCCCACAAAGTAGAGAAATGAGTTTCTCTTGCTAACGGAGGATCCAGTTCAACCAAAGTTTCTGCTTGTGTTCCTGGCACACAGGTTATGTTCACTGCCTCACAAATACAAACATCCCGCCATGACCCAGCACCACAGTAGAAGTGATGGAGGCCCAGAGAGGACAAGAGACCTCCCTGTCACCCTGGTCACATCATCCCTGAGCACAGAGTTGGCTCCCCAATACTCCAGGCACCTTCCTGCTGCACATAGCCAGCTACTGTGACATACTGTCTTCAGCTTGCATTCCCCTTGACCTTTCTGTATTATATTTGACACCAAAGATATTTTCTTATTAAAGGTGTTATTTTTGTATGCTATGTTCAGGAATCTGAAAATTGACGGTGTGGTGTATGCAGATCCTGTAAGTCACTCAATGCCTGTGTGAGAAATTACCAGTTATGTGGTACCCTGCCATCACACCAGCAAAGGCAGTCATTACAGCTCCTAATTCCTGATGGAGTGGAGATGCCATCTTACAATTAGTCTGACTCAAAGAAGTTATAAGAAAGGAGAAGTAAAACTATGTATACTCCCCAAGAGGGGGAACTTGAAGGCCCAGGCCCAGCCCTGTTCCTCCTTTGGTAGGAGATGGCCTTTTACTGAGCTATCCCCATAAGAGCGATCAAGCTTGTACCATAGATGCAGCATTCTGATCAAACTTGTTTCCTAGGAGCGTTACAAGATTGGATCCGAGAAGCAAAACCAGGAGGAAAGGTCACCTATGCTAAAACTCACATAGCAGCCACCCTTACATGGTTAGTGGAGTAACTAGAACATCTCTGAAGCACCAGCCTGCCTGGTCCTGGAACCTGACATCTGTAACAATAACTCTTTCCGCCGAGCCACCTGAGCCCTGCTGCCACGTGGGCGCTTTCCACCAGGCCGCCCAAGTTCCACCCGCTGCCACGTTAAGGTCCCAAGTAACACACAAAGACTTATATTAGGTACAAACACTGCTTGGCCAATGACTAGGACTTCTCATCTGCTAACTCAGTCTTAATTATCATAAATCTATATATTTTATAAGACTTATCAGATGCCAGTGGAAGCGTCCTGTCTTCTGGGGCTCACATGGTGACTATGCCGAGAGGAGGAGGAAGAGGAAGAGAAAAGGGGACTGACTTCCTTCTTGTCCTTGCTTATATATGAGTCTGCCTGCTATGTCCCTTCCTGCCTGAATCTCTACTACATTTCCCAGAATCCTCCTTGACTCCTAGTTCCACCTATCTTGATTTCCTATTGGCCAACAGTACTTTATTTATCAACCAATAAGACAAACGCACACACAGAAGCACTTCCCCATCATCTCCTCTTTTCTGTCTAAATAAAAAGAAGGATAACTTATCTTTTATAATAACTGAAGAAAACTATAACCATAACTATCTGTCTTCAACTCTATCAAAGAACACAGAAGGATAATATATAAACTCTAGAATTGACAGAGACATCTCACTACCTGGACAGTCACCCAAAGTTCCTCTGTAACGTTGGGGCATCATCTTCAGCCCATAGGCCACAGTGTGTCTGGCACACTTCTCCATTTCAACAGGAACCCTTCAGGACTGTTCATCTTGTTTTGTAAGTTCAGTAGTCACTTTCTTGTGGGTCCTGTATGTCCAGTTTATACAACAACAAATAGTCCAGGCAAGAGCAGTTTCTTGCCCAAATGGCTAATCTTGCCATGTTGAAGGCAAAATCCATAATGAGTTTCTTCGATGCCCATCCTCCTTTCTGACATAATTGGTGTGCCAGGAGCAGTTGTGTCTCACTGTCATGAAAAACCCTAAACCATTTAAATGCCATATATTCTGTAAGTCTTTGAAAGGTTTGAAGAATACCTATCTATCTCAAATACATCTCTGTAAATCTAGAAAACCTAACTACCCTAACTGTAGGTTGTGACTATTATAGGTGACTATATAATCTGCATTTAATTATGCATATCACAAAATTGACCTTAAATTTGTATCAATAAATGAAAATCCATACCAATGCAAAGTATTCATTCCTATATCCTATTCCCCTTTTTTCCTTTAAAAAGAGATTGTGATCAATACCATTAATTACCAACTCCATTTAAATGAAAACAAACATTTATAAACAATATTTGGGAATTTGGGCATCATTCATTCCAAACTTCTTCCTGCTGGTTCGGGATCAATGTCATGGGGATCCTGAGAAAACCCAGAAATTCTGTCTGTAGTGGTTTTGACTGCATCATTTCAGCTGTTTTGGATGTACGATCAGTTGGGCCACTGCTTCAGGGGGGTCTTGCTTGATCAAACCATATTAGTCTGGAAGGAATACACAGCTTTCCACTTTCCGTGGTAACACAAGCAAAAACTTTTTTCCTGAGTAGCCTGTCCTTAGACTTAAATTTTGAAGTCAAAGCATTTTTAAAAGGTATAAGTTGGATTAATTTAGCAGCATTTATAATCAAATGTATTTTAGTAGCAGTAACTCTTTCCTTGGCAATCAAACAATTTAAAGACAACAATATAGCATATAGTATCCAGACTCTGTGAGTATTTTCCATCTTTACGTGGCTTTTTTATTATTCTATTTCTTTTACTTCCTTTTGTTTCATTTTTCCTGAGACAGGGTTTCTCTGTGGAAATCTGCCTGCCTCTGCTTCTGGAGTGCTGGGATTAAAGGCATGCACCACCACACCCAGCTACTTCATTTCCTCCTGTCACTTTTTCTCTCACAAGCCTACATATGTTTTTAAACACGCTGTTAACCTTTAGAGGTTTTTCTTCATCTGATTTTATTGTAAATCTTTACCTTTTTCAGGCCACACAATCTTTTAACTGTTAAACAACACTGACAAATTAAAGCACAGTGGCTTTCTTAGCCACTGTCCTTCCACGATGGCGGGGTAAGTTTACCACCAGCTCTGAGAGCTGTGCTCACCGCCTTGGTCTATGCTACCATCAAGCAGCAAGCTGCCGGCTTAGAGATGTGGTCACTGCCACTGCCAGCTGCGTGGGGCATGAACCCACAACTCTGAGATTAAAGTCTCATGCTCTACCTTGACTGAGCTAGCCGGGCCTCTTAAAAAGAAACCCTGCATTTTTCTTCTGCTTAGGCTGAGTCGGGAAACCTCTCCTAAGGAAACCGTTCAAGTCTCTGCTTGTCTCTAGCAAACAGAGACCACCCAAGAAAATGCTGCTACCAAGAAGTCGTGCTTATCTCTGTTCCTTTGCTGTTAAAATCCCTTTTTAAGCTTTTGTGAAGTTTACATGGAAGTTTGTAACACTACCGTCAGCTGCCTGGGTTCTGCCGCTGCTTAATTAGTCTCCAGAAGGTGACTCGCTGCACCTGGCGACTCGGGGCAGCAGGTTCCCCTCTTCCTCTGTGAACCTCGGGGCGTGGGGTGATCCCACTCACTGACACCATTCTGTTACGGTAAGTCTTTAATTCATCTTCCTGCTTGTATCTCTACTACATTTCCCAGAATCCTCCTTGACTCCTAGTTCTGCCTATCTTGCTTTCCTATTGGCCAACAGTACTTTTTATATCAACCAATAGGACAAACATATACACAGAAGCACTTGCCCCATCAGACATCCTCTGACAAGGCCGTAAGGAAGCGGTCTGGATGTGGGATGGCAAAATCCAGGGAAAACTGGTCATAGCTAGAGAAAGCCCAGTTGGCGCTGCTAAGCCTATGTGAGTGATACAGGCACCTTTCAGGGGAAGCTGCACCCCTTGTCACAGAGCTAACATGTGCCTGGTGCAAGACTCAGAGACGCTAAAGAGCTGGAGGTAAAGGAATGAACGGACAACCACATGTGGCCCAACGTGCGGTGGCTCATGCAGCTGCCCCACCCTCCAGTGCCTCAACCTTGTGGCTGCTGCTTCTCCTCAAGCACCTCCAGAATGCCCAGAAAATGCCTCGTGGCTCAGATTGGCATCATGCAGAGAACTGAGTATGGAAGGTGCGGTTTCAGCTAAGCTGAGGCAACATTAGCCTGCCACATCAGTTCTTCAGAAGTCCAACACAAAAGGAAAGCCGCCACACCCTCCACCTTGGATGCACCCAAAGTATGTGGAGACATCACAGAGACGAAGGACTTAGGTTCTTGCAAAGAAACACTGATCCCATACTAAGTATTTGATAGTGTGTTAGCTCCATTGCCCTAGTTAACCACGGGTTAGTGCTATGATTGGGACCCTTACTTTGTGAGCAAAAGGAGCAAAGAGAGTGAAGCTTAGAGACGTTAATCTGTCTTCCAAACTCCTGCCTGGCCCCCCATCGGCTATGATAGAATCTAACTGGCCAGACACACCTGCCACCCATGTTTCTCTGACCCCGTGTCCCTTCCTGCCACCTGATGTTATGATAAATGAAGGAAATCATAGCGTGTTCTGGGCACAGCCGTGATTCTGACAATGAAGCCCAGTGTTCTTGCAACACTGGTTACAGAAAATCTCAGTCACTGACTTGTATTAAGTCCAAGAACCAGACTGGTGTGTGCTGCAGTGGTGCAGCCCTGCGCTTCCCAAGAAGAAACCCAAGAGATAGAGATTCCCAGGGAGTGAGGCCTGGAAGGAACCAAGAGCCATTCTGCACCTCAAACAAGGGAAGAATGCAGAAGGCAAAAACTCAAGGAAGAAATGAAGGCAAGCATAGGTTTGAAAGACAATGTTTGGCACAGCAAAGGCAGATGACAAGCAACGTCTGAGGACTCTACCTGCAGGACTCAGAGGGAATCCCCATGGAATGCTGCAAGAAAAGCAGATAAGCCCAAAACAGGAGGAACTTCTGGCTTTGATAAGGCCAAGCTGAAGGAAACAGAGGTGCAGGAAAACACACCGTGGACCAAAGAGAGGCCAGTGAGCAGGAAGTAGAGAGAGATTTCCTGGGCACTTAGACCAGCTCTCTCCACATCACCTCACCTCACCTCCTCTCTGAGACCCCTCATGATGTGGTGGGCAAGCCACCTGCACACCATGCCAACGCCACTGGGCTGCGGGGCTCTGAAGGGACTCTAATCAGACTGCCAAATTTCACTGGTTTGCCCTGGGGTGTTTATTATATTAAATTATTTATATAATTAATGGAAATAAAAGTTAAGTCATGGGGTGAAGGTGTGTGAGCAGAGGACATGTTGTGTAAGGACCGGCTCAAGTCGTAAGCAGATCAATGGCCTGAGGGTAATTAGAAGGACCGGGTCGGACACAAGCTCCTATCCCAGAGACTTCCGTGTGTCTGTACTGCCATGACCACGAGGGCCTTAACCAGCACTGCCCACCCCTTGACTAAAACCCTTTGCTTCTTCTGGCCAATTCCCACCTCAGTGCTAACTTCAGAAAGCTGGAATCATCCATCTTTTTCTGTTCCATTTTTTAAGCTTTTTACTGGCGCTCTCTCTCTCTCTCTCTCTCTCTCTCTCTCTCTCTCTCTGTGTGTGTGTGTGTGTGTGTGTGTGTGTCTGTCTGTCTGTCTCTCTCTCTAGGTTTTTCAAGACAGGGTTTCTCTATATAGCCCTGGCTGTCCTTGAACTCACAGAGATCCGCCTGCCTCTGCCTCCTGAGTGCTGGGATTAAAGGTGTGCGCCACAAACCACTGCCTGGGTTTATTTCTACTTAACAATTTCACATCACAGCCCATCGTTGAAAGAAGTTAGGGTGAGAACTGAAGGCAGGAAGCTGGAGGCAGGGACTGAGCAGCAGCCGTGGAGGAGAGCTGCTTATGGGCTTGCTCCCCAGGGCTCCTTCAGTCTGTTTGCTTCCTTTCTTCCTTTCCTAATTTCAAAATTTTCTTCCTTTTATTGAAAATGGATTCTTGTAACACGAATAATAAAAACCCAGAGGCAGATATTGGAGTTCAAGCTGAAGATCAGAAAAGCAAAGTATCCAGCCACCAAGAGCTCTACCAAGGCTGAAAGGGGGATCCTGTCTCCAATGTGGCTGGAGAATAATTGCCTTCCTGACCTCAGCATGGCTGGAGAATGAATGCCTGAATCCCAGACCCTACTCTAAAGCTGGATTAAAGGTGTGAGCTCAGTTTCTCTTTTAGACTGTTTTACTCTCATGTAGCCCTGGGTGGCCTTGAACTCACAGAGATCCATCTGCCTGTCTACTGAGTCCTGGAATTGAAGGTGTGCGCCACCACTGCCCAGCTTCCATGGCTGTGGCTGGCTTTGCGTTCTGCCCTTCAGTGACTTTATTAGATTATAAACAATAGATCACCACAGATTCTTTTCACCGTAGTATATCCTGGTTATGGTTTCTTCTCCCCCGCTCCTCCCAGTTCCTCCACACCCTCTCTCATCAGATCCATGTGCTGATATTTTGTTTTTGATCTAACAAATAAAGCTTGCCTGATTAGAATATGGCATTAAACCACTAGTTAGCCATAGAGGCCAGGCAGAGGTGGCACACACCTTTAATTCCTGCACTCAGGAGGCAGAGGCAGGCAGATCTCAGTGAGTTCAAGACCACCCTGGGCTACACTAGATTAACCCAGTCTCAGAAAAACAGGGCTCACACCTTTGATCCCAGCCCTTGGGATCACAGGCCTTTGATCCCAGCACTAAGGAGGCAGAGACAGGAGTGATACAGCTGGGTGGAGAGAAGAATATAAGGTGGGAGAGACAGGGGCCCAGAGCATTCAGTCTGAGGTTTCGTAAAGACGGACTCTTGCCCACTTTGGTCTGAGGATTCGGTAGAGGTAAAAGGTCTCTCTAGTGACTGGCTCCTTTACTTCTCTGATCTTTCAGCATTTACCCCAATATGTGACTCTGGGTTTTTATTATTAAGACCTATTAGAACTCGTGTTAAACAGTAATGTCCAGAATTCTCTCCACCTGCAAAAGTTTTCTTAGCCTCAGGCAGGATTCTTGCACTTCTGTCATGGACCTAGAGCCGATGTTCTAGTGGAGGAGAAGAAAGCTTTTTCTTACGGGGCCTCCAATGCTATTATGGCATTTTCATTCTTTTTCTCTAAAACTACCACCTCCCATGTCCTGCGGCTGCTCACATATGGCATGGGTATCTCTCTTTCTTGTCTCCATCTTCTTCCTTGGGTCTGCTTCCAAGATTTACACTTGACTGTCCTTTTGTTTTTCTTTCAAACTCTAATAAAATTACCCTGGAACTTCCTTTCCAATATATTTTTACATTCTTTTATTAAAAAGCCTGATTCTTGTTAATAAAACAAAACTCTCCAGAAAGAGACGCCCAATTTTCCTGATGCCATATGGCACCCAAAATGGAGCTTGCCAAAGTCTCCAGTGACAGAGGATCCCAGAAAGATGGCTAGATGTCTAAAAGTGCTGTCACACTGCCTGAGGACCTGAGTTGACTTCCCACAGCCCATATGGTGTAAGGAGACAACTAACACCCGAAGGTTGTCCTGTAACCTTCACACTTGTCCTGAGGCATGGGCACACCCACACTCTCTCACACACATAAAATAATGTGTTTTAAGTAAAGGACAGAAATGTTGCAGAGGGGTCCTCTAACCACATCAGAATTTAATTGCCAATTAACAGCGATACTGAATTGATGGGGAATGTACTGTGTTTGTTCATCTTATTGATTGTTGAATAAAGTACTGTTTGGCCAATGAGACAGCAAGTTAGACGGGACTAGGAGTCAAAGAGGATTCTGGGAAATGTAGTAGAGAAGTGGTGATCCAGGCAGGAAGTGACATAGCAAGGAGACTCATATTTAAGCAAGAACAAACAGGAAGTGTCCTTTTTCCCCCTTGGCCTCCTCCCGTGGCGCCATGTGATCCACCGGCAAGAGAGGGTGCCAACAGAAGGCATCCTCTATAAGATAAATCTTATAAAATATATAGATTTATGATAATTAAGACTGAGCTAGCAGATGAGAATCCTAGTCATTTGCCAAGCAGCATTTGTACCT